ATACACCAATACATGATTGAAATTTCTCTGCCCCCATTAAGAGAATACTTGATTATGATAGATCTTTGCGGACATGACTTGCTGAAGATTGAAATGACCCTATTTATTGTTTGAATATGTATGATTTGTTTGTTCTTCTTTCTAGCAATTTCTTTCCCATTCATGAGTTTTACAGTCAATCTGCTTTTGTTATTCCCTTCGTTTTTTTTCCATAAGTAATACAAAGCGTACGTATACGAAGTGTTATAATGAATGTTTTGTATGATAGAAGAAAATGTATTATGGTTTCATTCAGTCTTGGATGCAAGTACTAATTTTGCTTCTAGTAAGAAAGAGTTGAGCTATACTGATTGTGCTTATACTAACAAGAAAACTTGCCTTAAGTTAATTTCCATAATGCGCTAAAATGTTAACTGGCGATTGTAGATGACTCTAATTAATTTATTGTCGAAACAAGCCTAGGCAGAATGAATTGCATATGGAAAGGAGGAAATTAATAGGAGAGTTAAATCAAATATTGATGGAGTATACGGGCGGCACCCGTGGGGGCTCAGGGGATAGAGCGTTCGCCTTTCAATAAGGTGAACTGGGTTCGAATTCTCGCAATGGCTGGGCAATACGAATTCTGCTACGAGCTCGCACCGACCACAGTGCTGGCGTAAAATATCCTCAGTGGTAGACGGATCATGGGTTTGAGTCCCCTTGGAGTCAGGATAATTGTGGGAGGTTTTCGTGGCTTCCTCTCCATACATGCTTGTTAGTTTCATCAAAAATTGCTCCACGAAGGCGCATTTCTTCCAATACTTGATCCAGAGTTTCCTTGTCTTCTGGATTGGACTCAAAATTTCAAGGCTACGGAGTTGAACATTAATTGTCGTAAATTCAAAATTGTGTCGGTTGTTCCCAACGGTTATAAAACATTAATATAAGAAAAAATAATGGTAATACGGGTGCATGGCCGGTGGATCCACCTACCCCGCGGCTATCCGCAGTTTCTGGTGGGTTGCTCCCCGGTTACGTCAGTCTGATATATAAAAATGATAATAAAATGGAAAAAAGATTGTGTACAATATTTATACTATTTGCAATACCTCTTGGATAGTATACCATCAGATAAGAAAGAAGCTGTCCATTGATTGTGCGTGATATTTTCATTTAAGAATTCTTAGCTTAAGGTATCATAATAATTGCCTTTTCACATCTTTCGGCTTTATTAAAAAATTGCTATCAATTGAGCAATGTACTGTTAGCGTTTTAAAAGATGTATGTCATCTCTTAAGGTTTGATTCTTAACGTAGTATGAAGCTTTTGTAATGGCTTTTGTACAATATAAAGTTTATTTAGTAAGTTATTTAACGCTAAGCACGATTCTGGTGAAGCAAAAGTGGTTATTGGTCTTACAGAGATGCCAACTTGTTCCGGACAGCAAATATATATTTTAAAGTGGTAGTTTATCAATTGTGATTCTTGGATTGATAAATTCAATTAAGTAGATTTTTATCCACCACTATTTCTAAATAATTCGTAGGCTTATATAATTCACCACTTTAGAGGGCTTATGTCATGTTATACCTGTTAAAATGCAAGCAAAAACAGTCAAATATTTGCAAAATTTACTTTGAAGTTATTTACCGTCTTTTTAATTATTTTGGCGTGTCCGGAGCAGTTGGCAACTCTGGTCTTATAGTTTGCCTACATAGTAGTTTTTTTAGGCGGGGTGTTTTCCAATGAGTGGTCTTAAGGCTTTGAGCGTTCCCCAGGTTTTTGAGATGTCTTTTATTTGGTTATTTCATGTAAGTTTATTACTTAATGTTTGGCTAAGGTATTTAGCTTTCTGCACCACTAGAACCGTTTGATTGAAGATTTGTATGCTTTTAGTGAATTTTGCACTAATTCTGGTGTTTTTAAGTAATAATAAATTGTTTTTATCAGCATTTATGGCTATACACCAATACATGCACCACTCCTCAATTTCATAGACAAAGTCTTGTAGTATTGAAATGGCAAAATCAGGGTTCAAGGAGTTTTGAACATCTGCCGTGTCATCGGCGTAGAAAGTAGTTAGATGTTTGGAATTTCCATTCTTCTTTGGGAAATCTGATCAAAACAAAATATACAAAGAGGGCCCAAGGATACTTCCCCATCACACAAGTATTAGGTCTTATATCTATGTCAAGTTCTTTTATGTCTTGTGACTGAAAACTGTGATGCTTGTTTCATACGTTAAAATTGTTGTTGATAATTTTTTTTAAAAATCAACAATAAATTGGTAAAGCATAAATTTTTTGCAAACCTATTCGACGTTTTCGTCGTTTAGAATCAAATTCAGAATCAAGTTCGAATCAAGTTACAAAAGATGAAAAAACAAGAAATCATTCAAATAAGGCAAAGTGAAATATTTATTTTTGTTCATCAGATAATCTAAAATAAGAAAAGTAGAAAAAACTTTTTAACCAACTTAACACTATTTACAATATTTTTGTTCAGAGCAGTTTTCATGCAGGTAGACAGCACATAAAAAAGCAAATAAAACGGCAAGCTAGCACCATAATCAAACTAGATTTCATGTGTTTTATTTATATTTGATTTGGCGGAAATTTTTTAAATCTGGATGTTAGAAAAGTATAGAGAATGCAACATATTTTTCATATCACATCTATTCATATGGTTTTTATATAATTTTGAAAAGTTTATAACAGCAATAGATAATTTTACGATTACTTTAGAAATAATAAGAAATTGTTTATAGAGGAATTGTTTTCATTAGTTTTATTTTTAATACCTATTTAAAAATTAAACTAAAATGTTTTTTTTAAATAATATTCTAGAAAATGGAATATTATATTAAAAGTGACAAGTTTTATTACTTTTTTTATTTATTTACTTACTGTTTTTTAAAAAAATATATAATTTTAAACCTTTAATTAATTAAAAAAAAACACATTTGAAATCTGGTTTGAAAGAACATTGACTTAGATATCGTTGAAGTAACGTACATAATTTATATAATAAAAAATATGAAGAAATTTTCGTTAAAAATGTGTATTGTAACAAGATAACAGAGTAAATAATCTTTTGAGCATAAGTTTAATTTATATTTTAAATTTAATATAAAATATGTGTTTATCTTTGGCATAAACAAAAATAAGTTCTAAGACTGGTGTTTTAAATTTATTTATATCAGATATTTTATGTTTAGTTAAAAGAAAATAGAAAAAATTGATAAGATAGTTGTTGTACAAATCTAAAAAAAAGGAAAAAAATATTTAAACAAACAAAAGGAAAAAAATATTTAAACATATAGACAGAATGCTAGAAAAACAGAGTAACAGAAAAGCAACAGTAATATTTCATGTTTTAAGTTTTTGGTTTCTCAGAAAAGCTAACAGATTTCCATCGGCCAGTAAAATAGCACGAAAACGAAACACTAATAATAAAATTAATTTAAATTTAATAGTATCCAGCTGCCCTAGGGTCATCAACTGGTACTAGAACGTAACGTGGACTTGCGGGTGCTGCTGGAGCTACTGGAGCGTATTGAGGAGCGTATTGTGGAGCTTCTGCAGCTGAAGATTCAACAGTGACGTCAGCAGGATTGGAGCTAGCGGTTCCAGGTTCGTTGGTTCTGATAGATGCTCTGAATCCATTTTCATCAGCAACGTAATCTACGATTCTGGTGTGTCCTTCTAAGTTGCTTACAGTGTAGGATCCAGACACTCTGCCGGCACCATCACCAGATTCTTGGTGTCCACTGTTGCCACCATCTTCAGTTGGTGCTTCGTAATTAAAAGAATATGGAATAGGAGCCGCCACTGGTTCCTGCAAATTAAAAATAATAAAATGTTAATTTATCGCATTAGTTTCAAATACATTTTTCTACAGAACCAATATAATAACATTCATGCAGAATTCTTATATAATTATTTGATTCATACAGAAGAAGGTTCTGACAGTATGTATTATAAAGAATGTGATAATTATATGAAGAAAAAAAATTCGAAAAATAGTTATATTTCTTTTAGATTACCTACCACCTTAGTTTGAAATTTTTTTTTCCCGAACCAATTGGGTGGGCAGTAGAAAGAAATATCCACTTAGAGTCTACAAATATGTGCTATTACTGTACTTTTTTTTTCAAATAATTGTTTCTAATAATAAGATTACTTTTTCATTCCGGTTCCAAGAAAATGTTTTAAAAAATAATAGAGAAAGATTGAAAAAACTAATTTTATCACTAATTCCTATCTCCCGAAATATAATTATAAATTGAGAGAAATGTATCTAGATCAGGGGTTTCCAACTTATAAGAGGCAGGGGGCCGCAATTAAAATGGCGGGCGGCAACTTTATAAAAATTTTATGTAGGACTCTTTTTATGTTTGAAGGAACATTAAATATTACTGTCAGATTTTTATCAAGTTGTAGAAAACAAAGGTATTGAATTACAAATTAAAATAAGAAGTACATTTTTAAAAATATCCCGGCTACAATAACTTTAATGTGCCCCATGTATTAAACAATTAATGTGCAACATATATCAAATTATTAAGATATATAACTTAAAAGTATTTAAAACCTATATAGATTTTTTACGAAAACTGTTCGCAAATAAATGACAACTAATATATTTTGGTTCGCGGGCCACCAGAAAAGGCTTCGAGGGCCGAATGCGGCCCGCGGGCAGCCAGTTGGCAACCACTGATCTAGATCATACCTGTCAACAACAGATTCCAACTGATCTACAAAAGTTTAAAAGTTTCGACAAGATGAACCTTGATTATTTAATATGTGACCTCAACCATACGTTATTTTTCAAATGAAAACGATCTGTATAAAACATTCCACCAACCGCATCTCCAAATGTTTAAGTATCTTAAAAAAAGAAATGCTTGTCTTATAGTTGAGAAACTGTACAATTGTTGGGAACGATTTTATAAATTTGTATTACAATAGTACTTTTAAGCATTAAGAATTTTCTGAAAATTAAGCTACTTTGTGACACTTAGAACAACATTAGTCTAACAAATACGTTAAGACCCAGCCTGCACGTTAATTAGGTAATAAAATTAGAAATTAAGGAACTATAACATAAAATTAGATCTTGAATTTAATAATGTATTATAATAATAATGGATTATTTTTAATTTCTTAGATTAATGTTCATAAGAAAATAACTTACCCAGCACTTCTAATTTGGGTTACTTATACAAGAAATAATAACTTCTTTCAAATTGCATCAGGTCTTAAAGGAATAGTCCATTTTATACACATATGCTTGAATTATTCATTCGTCATGGTAAGTAAACCAACTTAACATTTAATTTTTAAAATTAAGAGTAAGCGTTAAAGTAAAGAAAAACACTTTTGCAAGTTGGCACTTATGTCGTTAACTTTCTCGTAAGTTTACTGCCTCGATTAAAAATTTTCTTGCAGCTTGTGAGCCTCGTCATAAAACCTTGAAAAATTTTACCAACCTCGTGAAACATTTGTCACCACCTTTTAATTTTAGTCCCCCGGCGTTGGTCACTCTGCCTCTGTATTCGGACATTAATGGGTAAAACTCTGATTCGTTTACAGTGCTTAGGGAAATGAATTTAACAATAACTATTGTTAATATTTGAGATTTCTTGGTTGTCGTGGGATGTTTAGAGAGAAGCTCAGGAGCTGTCCACGTCATCTGACCAAAATTGCGTGACTCTCCTATCATTGCCGTTCAAAGATAGGGCCCAAAAATAGGGGTAGCTGCTTGGCCATGATTGGGTGATTATGTTCATGATATTTGGGAATTGAATACTTATAACTTAAATTGTTTAATCTAAAAACTGCTAAGTAATATAAATTTTACAAAAGAGCCGTGGTGGTTCAGGGGATAATGCGTTCGCCTCAAAGCAACGGCTGGGCGATACGAATTCTGCATGGTACTTTTATAACTTTATTTACAAAAATTGGGCACCTGTGCCTCGTAGCAGCCCCTATCCCATACATCTAGAAATTTTCAAAAAATTTATAGTAATAACATTTTGAATTTAGCAGTCGATGTGGTAGCTAATATAGAAAAACAAGCACTTTGCTTGAGTAAATATAACATTTGAATATCTGATTCATCGAATCTAAGCTGACATTAACATATATAAATATAAACATAATTTGACCGAATAATGGTAGAAAGTGGCGCAAAACAAAGTCTTTGTGTTATTTAGAAGTAGTAGTGAGTAAAAACCTTGTAAATTGAATTTACTAAACTAAGTATCATACAATAAAAGACAACATCGAAAACATTTATTCGCTATCCGGAGCAAGTTGGCATCTCTGCATATATGATACCCCGGTCTCGAAGAGGTTAAAAATTTATAATTTAAAAAAAGAGTGAGAAATACTTACTAGTCCATATTGGGCTAAGGAGACAGCTACTAAAGCGGATAAAATGATGAGTACCTATGAAAAAAAATTATTTTTTACAAAGTGTAAATTTTTGGAAACATCTATTTGTATCAATACCATTCAAAATGTATATTATGGAAAAAATATAACACAGTTTCTAATAAAATAATTTTTATTAGAAAACTGTTTTTGAATACAGTATTTATACGTGCTAACTCTTAACTGTTTCCGAGAGCAATTTTTCCATGTGGTTGTGAAATGATAATTGCAGAGACTGATTATCCCGATTTTGTTGCGAGATTTTGCTTTCATATTGGAGGCCACGACACAAAAATGAAACGAACATTCCTATATCTATTCTGCTCGGATTATTTTGCCATCCTTCTGTATATGATTTAAATAAATATATGATAGACCTAACACTATTCTCTACGAATTTGAGTCCTTTAAGAAATTAAAATATTATTTCGCAACCACTATAAAGGAATTCACAATTGAATTGCAGTTTCAGGCACATATAATTTTGTTACCCATTGGCAAAATGGGTCTTGTTTTGGGCATGATGGCTTACAAACTTTATTTGAACTTTATCACACTTTTCCACTGTGTTCAAGAGTAATAGTAAACAGTGCGCATGCGTCGTCATTGCATGCGTTGCTATGGCGACCGCTGCTGTTTGAAAATTTTTTTAGAATTCTTTTTTTCTTTTCATTTTCACGAGCAGTCATTCTTAATGTATTTACATAATAATAATTTAAAGTGCTTATATATTTTTATTTATTATTAACTTATAATTACTGTCTTGACGGTGATTTTAATATAAATATGAATATTGAATAAGGAAAGGTATTTTGTGATGTCTTGAAACACGTATATAGCCATGATTTGAAAACCAATCCAACGACAAGCATCAATTGAGACAGTTTTTACAACCCATGATTTGAAATGTTGTGACGTTTATCGGAGTCAAACCAGAAAAAAAAGCATTTGACGTATGGGTAACCCAGTGATCGAAAATTTTTTTCATAATTTTTTATTTATTTTATCTTATTGTCAATAAATTAGCTAATCTAAATATTTTTATGCATCAGGGTTCCACTGTCTGGATAATTTTTTTAAAGTGGTAGCGAAAGTGATCATATAGATATTTAAAGCTATCAATAAATATCTAGATTAATGGAAATATATATGGGAGAAAAAAATAACTTGTGATTAATTTTTTTAATTCATTAANTGTTAATTTTGCTAATGGTTATAGGGATCAAATATATAGGTTATATATAGGTCAATATATAGGTTACGATCAAGGAATATATATTCTTTGATCGTAATAAAGTGATCGAATATGTTTTTCATAATTTTTTATTTATTTTATTTTACTGTCAATAAATTAGCTAATCTAAATATTTTTATACATCAGGGTTCCACTGTCTGGATAATTTTTTTAAAGTGGTAGCGAAAGTGATCATATAGATATTTAAAGCCATCAATAAATATCTAGATTAATGGGGGAGAAAAAAATAACTTGTGATTAATTTTTTTTAATTCATAAATAAAAGAAAAATTTACGCAATTCTCACAAAAAATCTTAGCTACCACTCATTAATTTTTTTCAGGCTGTGGGAACCCTGTTTATATTTAAATTTGTTATATTTAGTGGTGAGCAGAACTAGTTTGAATTAATTTATAAATCTGAGAATCATATAAAAGGAAGAAAAAAAAACAAGAATTTAGCAACTACTTTAAATATTAAAATGAAATGTAAATCCGTAATTAAATTTGTATGTGCTCAATGCATAGAAATCGTGCATCTCACTAATTATAAATTTTTAAAAAAAAAGTCATGTGGTTTTAAAACCACAATATAAATAAATTTCCGTAATGAAAACTCTGAGATTATTACGATTAAGTCATGCATCTTTATTTTTGAAGGACTTTTTTTTAAAATTGTAACCTTATACATTGTAGTTTTTAAGGAGTATTTCCTGAAAAATCTATAATGTTCCTCAATGTGCGAAAAATTTAGCTTGCAGTTATACGGCAATAAGTTTTTTATTTTTTCATCGTTCATATTTTCGGCTTATTATTTTTTCATGTTACGAGAAATAATTCTGTTTTTTAAACCCATGTTGTCTTAGAATTTTATTATAATTTCTCAAATGGGGCGCAGATAAGATTTAATGTTAATATGAATTTAATACACATAGACAATCACTAAAAAGTTTGATGAAAAATATGACATTTCAGAAAATTTAAGAGGACAACTAAAAACTAGAAATTTTCTGCAGACCTTGCGTTTTTATCAGAAGTCCGTTTTATGGTTTTTCATACAAAAATTAAAAAACACTTAAGTTATTAAAAAGTAAATTTTTAAATTAAATCTTTCAATTCTTCATTTATAACAAAATATTTAATGGTTCTTTGTTTAATTAAACTTTTTAGAAGTATGTTCTAGTTTACACGCGTGATAAAGTTCAAAAAGATAACCATTCTCAATTCCAACTTTGAAGTTCGTGATCAGACTTTATGTTAGCAAGAGCTGGATAAACTTTATTTATTTAGAAATCCAAAAGGTCATCTTTTAGATAGCATAAGATAATAATGATTTTTGCTCAACTGTGATGTGATAAATGATGTTTACTTAAATATTTTCTTCCGAGTTCTAATTTAAAATCACCTTTGTTTTCCTATGCTTTTTAAATAATAATGAAAAATGGATCCACGAAAAACAAGTAACGGAAAATTATAATGAAGACATATTTTAAAATTTTAAATAAAAATAATGAAATACGACTTAAAAAAACAAACAAAAATTTTTTATTTAAATTTTTAGTTAATGCGAAAAATTATTAGTTTTATGAAAATTTTTATACCGAGAAATTTGTAGATTGCAAATAAATGGTTAATAATATTTCAAAATATATTACGACATTAGATATTCTTGCAAATGTTTTGATGTTTCATTCATTGCATTCCAGCGACGAATAGCTAGTTGATTCTTAATTCTTAAATGTCAAAAGGCAGCAATGATATGATATTTTTGAAACCGATATAGCCACGAATTGAAATTGTAATAATTTTAGTTATATCGCAACAACCAATTGTATTTAAATAATTTCTGATCCACGCGTCTTGTACCATCGAAAATTGCGCGGTAAGAATATAAATCGTTTTGTTGGTATGCCTAAAGGAGTTTCGGCTTTACTCTATTGCTCAAAATAGCTTATTCCGGATGGTTTCTGTGATTTATAAATCCCATTTAGGGTTACATTAATTTTTGTCACCATTGAAATGGTTGAAAGTTTAAGCATGTTACAAGAATTCTTAATTTATTGATAGATATTCTATATAACTTGATTGTTTTGATTAAAGATCACTCTTTGCGCATGTGAATAAAGTCCCGCATCTATATATTTTTTTAAACTTTATTTTTAAAGCAAATTTTTTAAAAATATTTTTGATGATAAGTTTCGTATTTAATAGTATTCATACGTAGATGCACGTTTTCAATTAAATAAATATTATTTTATGTATTAATAACTTTAATTTTGGGGATATTTTACTTTATTTTACTTTCAGAATTGAGGTATATTTACAAAAGAAAAATTGTAAAATTTTATTTCAAATAGCAGCATCAAAGTATTAATCGCACAAATTAAATAAATTAATTTTAAAAAAATCTCTCTTCTCACTTTCGTCTGCCAGACAGTTGGAATAAATTTATATAAGTTACTGTGCATGCATCATTTTAATAAATATTGAAAAGAAGAGAAATAGTGAGTTAATTTTTTTACTTATTGTGTATTATGTCTTTTATTTTATATAACATTGGTATTTTTTTCCAATTATTTTTCACATATTACACACAAATTTAATATTTTTTTAAGATGGAATATAAGACAACTGTTGAAAATGGAATTATACTTAATTTTTAATGAAAATAAAATTAGTAAAACAGCCAAAAACGTGCAATGAGGAATTAGATGTTAATGGGAAACAACCATTTACCCGTGCACTTGGTTGAGAAGTAACTTGAAATTCGTAATTGGTACATAATTTAAAATTTCTTCAGTATATGTGTGTGTAATAAAATTCCTTAATACTCTGGCAACTTCAGGAGTAATGGAAATTCATATGAATCCGAGCAGTGCTTTTTTGAAATTGAGAGTTGTAATGAAATTTGTTCATAATTTGTATAACGCTGAGAAAAATTTATGTACAAGTCACTTCCACAAAATAATACAACTGATAAATTCTAAAAGGCTTTATATGAATATCTTCTCGATGTATCTATTTAAAGAGGAACCTAGTAACCAGTAAGAGAAAAATCAGAATAATTATCTTCAGTTATCACTTTCTATTTTGGAAGCTCAGTTCTGATTTATTTGTACATGGCTATGTTTTCTACAATTTGAAAAATTGTCAGTTAGCGATAACATTTTATTTAAATGATTTCATTTTTTGCGGACACATAACCAAAACTAGAGCTTAAAAGTATTTTTCATAAATGAAATGAAGAAATTCGAGACCACAAAATGCTTCGTATGTATAGTTGTCATTTAAACTGCTTATTGCCTCAAGGATTATAACAATCAAAGATTTTGAAAGATTCTCTTATAAAATGGTGAAAAGAAATTAAAAATGAATAGAAATTATCAAGATTTAACTATTTCTTAGATATTTTTTAATTAGAGAAAATTTTATTTATGAATTATATTTTGATAACAAAATATAAGCAACAAAATTTCTATGTAAATCAAAATGTTTTATTTAGATATATTATCAAAAATTGAAATTGATAATTTTCTTCAAAAGTTAGATATTTACATAATTATTAAGCTAAATATGTAAAGATTAAATTTTAAATACTCAATTCAAATTCTTACAGTGTTTTTTTTTATTAAACAATGTTATTAAAACATTATAATGTTTTGAGAATATTTTCGTTTAATTTCTCTCTTATTCGCTATTTCTTACAGCAATTTTGTTATATTAAAACTAGAAAAATTTCACGACTTTAAGACTGAATTTCAAAAATTTAGAGTTTTTTTTATATCTTTAAAAACATAACGTTACAGAGATATTCCATGAATAAATTAGCAATTCATAATTAATAGCTCAAATAACTCATGAATTTACTAACATTTAGTTTACCATATTTTTAGATGTTGTTGTATCTACATATCAATGTAACTAAAAAATGTAGTAAATAAATAGTCTAAATAGCAATTTCAGATTTTGAGTTAATTCATCGAGAGCACTTAATATGCTTTAATGAGTTTGTAATAAATAGCTTTGTTCGTAACAATTATACTTAATAGTTTATAAATGAGTGACTATGTTTTAATATAGAATAATCACAAACGGTAAAAAGAACATGAAATTACCTTCATTTTTGGAGTTGAGTTAAAACTGTAGGATGATTTGGAAAAGAAGATGACAATGCGAGTGTCCTGAGTTTGTCTCGGGACTTTTTATATATAAATCCCACGGGCGCTCCACAATTCCCTTTTACTCTAATTTACATGAGTCGCATGTTAATTTTGCTAATGGTCAAAGTGTATACACTTCCCTACACCTTAAGGCGATGGACGAAGATTGACAAAAAACCCATCTCCTTGGAAAAAAGACGACCGTCTTTTGTTTTCTCTACCTTTTCGGCATATCTAGATCACATTCATATATTTTTTTGTTTAAAAACGGAAAGAGATACTCCGGTCACGTAGAAAGAGTCTTCTCATCATTTGAAATGAAATGAAGCAAAGACATTATAGTTTAGCCGTTAATGAGAACAAACGATTTCTTTTGTGTCGAAATGAGATTTGTGGAGTTCTAAAACGGCCATGATGTACGCCGTATATAAATAATTCTAAAGACGTTTCGTTTCTGTCAAAAAGTATGGCTTCTTAGCGCAGATTTTGATTGACTTAACTTTGTTTTTAATTTTTTTAAATGAAAGTAAAATAGATCATCTAATATTGTTCTTTTTCTTAAATTTAAATTCAAGGGAAGATTTATGGCATGTCCGAACATTTAGTTCCTGCTTTCAAACCACTTACTTCACTTTCTTAAAAAAAACTTTTAAAGCATGGGTTTGCATATTTGAGCAAGAAATTATTTAAATGAATTCTAAAATTGCTAAAAAAAAGTTTAATATTTCATTTGTAAAGTGAAGTGATTATCCGAAAACCGTTTCCTAACTGTTCTGGTACGATAATTTGTTCATTCGTTTTTTTTAAATTTTTTTTTAATTTGAGCTATGTTATGGGTTTTTTAAGATATTTCAATCTTTCTTTAAATTTATAAACTATTTTAGTCTGAGGAAAGAGGAAATGGACTTGAGCGAACATATTTATTATTTTATCGAGCCTGATTCATTAAACCGGCTATTCTTGGGCATTGCCCCCTTTTAATTTTTTATTATATTTGTCTAATATTATAATAATAGATTCTTGATATTTCGTCCTTTGATATTTTCCCCCGCCATTTAATATTTAAAGTCAATAATTTAATTTGTGAGTGTCATATAAAATATATCATTGCTGTGACCACAATTTGTTTTTATATAGTTTGCCAATATTTAAAATAAATTTTTTTCGTTATTATCCGCTGTAGTAGAATGAAATATATACGCTAAAAAAAGAGGCTAATTTTAATCTCGTGTTATAGATTTTTGTTATATTTATTAATCATCGCTTTTTTCATTTTTAGTCGCCTGCGGAATCGCTGCAGTTTCCGATAACGCTATAAATTTTAATGAATAGTGGTAATTGCAGCTAATTTATTCCTGTCTAAAAAAAAAAAAAGAAAAGCAAAAAGGAAATTTTCTTACTGCCAGTATTCTGCCTTATCCTAAAATTAGTAATCCAGGTTTTAAAATGTCTATTTACTACTCATAACGTACGTATATATATATGGAGTCGTCAAAATGAAACAAAATTTAACATACGTAATGACTACTTTGATATAAGTAAATGATTAGAAAATCAAAGATTATCGTTTTTCTTTGATTTTCTAATCATTTACTTATATCAAAGTAGTCATTACGTATGTAAAATTTCGTTTCATTTTAACGACTCCTTCTTGGTGCGCTAATTTCTTTGTCCATGAGTGTGTATATATATGTAGAGATGCCAACTGCTCCGGACACGCCAGAATAATTAAAAAAACGGTAAATAACTTCAAAGTAAATTTTGAAAATATTTGACTGTTTTTGCTTGTATTTTAACAGGTATAACACGACATAAGCCCTATAAAGTGGTGAATTATATAAGCCTACGAATTATTTAGAAATAGTGGTAGATAAAAATCTACTAAATAGAATTTATTAAACCAAGAATCACAATTGATAAACTACCAGATTAAAATATCTATTTGCTGTCCGGATCAAGTTGGCATCTCTGAAATATGTATATATATCGATAATAAACAATAGCTTTAAAATAACTTATAACATTTATTATTATAATAAAAATAAATAATATTTTTGGGTTTAACTTGTTCTTCTGTCAGTATACTGTGTATTCGAATATTTGACTTTCTTAATTGATAAAGCGTAAATTTTGGACGGACTCGATCTATTAGAACCTGAAAAATTAATTTTAGAAATACGAATTTTTGAAGAAGAACAATTCAATTTTCTCAAGAACAATTGAGATGATTTCGTTCAAAGTTATGTTGTTTTCTTTTAAAAATTAATTTAAAAAATTTGATTAAATTGACTAAAAAATTTGTTAGGGAAAGGGGACAAGCGTGAACAGATTTTTTAAATTTGCCCGAAAAAGCTTACTAATTATTTTGTTCAGCAGATCTCTTATTTTTGTTCATAAAAATTTGAATATCTTTATTTGGATGATTATATTCTTAAACTGATTTGGATGAATACTTTTTTTCCCTCTTTAATAAAATATTAAAATAATTTTCCTCTTAAAATCTTTTTCTTCAAATATTCTTCCAGTTGTGACATTAACAGCTTGGGGCTGTCGCAACTTCGAATTTTATATTTAATAATTTGTATTCATAATTCCCTCCGGGGTTTCGAAGCGTTACAGTAAAAAAAGGAAGACGAATATGAAAAAGAGAAGCATATGAAATTATTCCGAAACTATTCAAGTTTTACTTACATACATTACTGGTGCTCTATGTGTGAACCCTTGGTCACACGACATACATCAATGCGATAGTCCAGTTTCTGCCCGGAGGGAATTATGAATAACTCTGTATATATATATAATATGATTGTTATTTTAACCTCTTTTTTTCAGAACTAGATAAATTCTAAAATTTTAATGGGTTCATTTATTTTTTTTCAAAGAAGTTGTGTAAGTTCATACCTCAATTTTNTATATATATATATATATATTATGTTATACTATAAACTCGAGTATTTTTATTTGTATTGGTAGTAGTACTATAATTATTATTGAATTTGTAAGGTTATGTTAATCCGGGTTCGTTGAGTCTTTAAAAATTTTTAAAAGTGGTGGCAAAATTTAGAAAATAAAATGTACTTTTATAAATTTGTGTTCACAACTACGCCTAATTTTTCCAAATAATCATATCTAGTAATAAAGTTACAGTTTTTGCAATTTTAATACTAAATTAACATTTTCAACTTTTTTATTTTCTTAAGGACAGTTTGAGCCACCACCCCAAGTAATAATTTAAGTAGTGTCAGAAAAGTAAGTTATAAGTTAAGTATTTATTTATATTCATTTTGTTGGGTTCTCTTACGTTATATTAAGTAATCTGTAATAGTGTTAATGCTTCTGCTGCCAACTATGCTGAAATGCCCTGATCTCATATTTGTGGTAGTTTGTGTGATTTAATGGTTGCGGGAGAGAATTTAAATTATTACTAAAATACAATATTTAAGGAACTTTGACAATATCGCGGACATTTCTACAAAATAGTTAAAATTGAAATCGAAATACTTCCGTGCGGGCAAAGTTGTAGCAACAGCTAGGTGGTGAAAAATTTGGTTAATATATTGTTTAAAACTAATTAAGGTGTTAGGACTGAAGGATCAGTTGAACAATTCGAATATTGTGTACTATTGTCTGTAATATGTACTACTGGTATACTAACAGGTTCAGTTTTGATAAGAATTATACAACGGGTTTTCCGTAGTTTCAGAAAATATTTTTCTAGTGGTAGCAAAGATAGTTTATTAATATTTTAATGAATGTGAACTAAAAGAAATTGCTCTTTCACTACTAAATGTTTTGATAGTAAATTAAAGGTTAGATCGACAAATGGCCATGCTCCAAAATCATTATCAAGCTCTAATAAGAATTTAATATTTAAAAAAAAAAAAAATTCTGCTTTAGCTGGCTGTCACTGAAAAAATATTTTTAACAAGACTTAAATGTTGAAGGGTTATGTAATAAAGTACCAAATATGATAATATAGGTATAAAATGTTATAATAATATATTTGGTGATGATTAAAAAAGGACCAATACTAAGCAGTTTAAATACCGATACTTTAGAAAGAAGTGTTTTAAAAGGTAAGGGATATGTACTCGAGAAAAGTATTTGATAGTGCTAAATTTTGACTATTATGGTTTGGACATCATGCCATGTGATGCTAAATACGTTTTATATTTATTCTATTGGAATGAACTACAAAAAACAAGTTTTACTTATTAAATAACGTTAAGCCACCGAAAAGGGAAGCAAATAGTATTAAATATAAAAAAAATTGAAATTATTCCAGTTATATGAATTGAAAAACTTAGTGGAAGAAGCAAGTAAGTGACATTTTCAGACTTAGAAAAAAGTTGTATCCGAGCTATTTATTACCAATTTAGTAGAAGAAGGGAAGAATAATTCTTTGCTTTATTGTTTCTAATTTTAAATAAAACCAGATTAACTAAAAAATAAAACCCTATTGCCTAATTTGAAATATGCAATCTAAAACTTTATGTGATTAGTTAAGATTTAAAAGAAGGCAAAAGCAGTGATTCTTTAATTCCCCTAAAAATTTCACTTACCTGGCTCTTACATACTCTTACTCTTTAATTGTGTCGGTATAAGCTTTTCAATTATGTGCACGATTTCGTAGAGTTTCTCTACTCTGATTTATTGGTTCTTTACTTATTTTTTTATGAACCCCGTGCGAAGAACATGTATTCAGCTAGTACTATATAATTATTAATAATAACATAATATTGTAACGAAAAACTAAGATACCAAAATAATTAAGTAATTTTAATGTTATTGTATAGGTGTCACTGGAGTGCTAAAGGTTTATACTAACGTTTTAATCATCTGCAGAACATGAAATAATAAATAAAGAGTTACTCTTTCATAGATTTCCGTAGTTTTAAACTGAATATTTTTAACACGTTCACGCCGGGGTGACCTACCGGTGGGTCACGCTAGATTGGCAGCGCACCGGAGTAAAAACTGGTAACAATAAATTTCATTTTTAAGTTTTTTTCCGGGAATAATAAAAATCCATAACTACCAATTGTTTTTAACGGATGCAATTTTTATATTGAATTGCTTCCTCGCCGTGATAAATTTTCTTACAGTAAATTGCTATTGTTGAGAATAGATTAACTCTTCCCGAATATTATCTAATATTGAAATAGTTCTCCTACCAGTATTTTGTCTTTTCCCATACCAGTATTTTCACTTTTCTCGCCGTGAATGTGTTAAGACAATTTGATTGGTATTAATTTCAGTAATCAAACATTTCTTTCTCTAGCTGTGTCATTTAAGACTGGTTGTATAGTAATATTGTTTTGAAATAAAAATTGCTTTCTTGCAGCGATGTATTCTTGAACTTAATTTAAGTTTATTTTCAGACATGTTTTTGTAAAAAAATATCTACCGAAATAAAACAAAATCTAGCACATTATTTCTAAAGCAATAAAATTTGTTTATTAAATCTAAAAAAACGCAACAAAGTAATAATTCTTTTCTAATTATATAGATTGTCTTTACATTAATTTTATTTCCATCAAGAAAAAGGCCAATAAACGTTTCCTAGTCGAGAATGAATTTAGTCCCATTATTTAATCGGTGGCTGGAACTAAAATGTATCGGACGCCAGTCCTTCTTACTGGTGTTGCTACAGGGGCTCTGGCAGGGGCTGCTGGCAAAGCGGCATTGAAAACTGGACTTGCAGCTGCTTCAGGAGCAGAGGATTCAACTGTGACATCGGCTGGATTTTGGTTGGTGGTTCCTGGTTCATTTGATTTCACGATGGCTCTGAATCCGTTTTCATCGGCAACGTATTCAACTACTCTAGAATGTCCCTCAATGTTGTTGATTGTGTAGGTACCGGTTACTTTGCCTGAACCATCGCTGCTTTCCTGATGAGTACTGCGACCGCCATCTTCACTTTCTGATAGGTAGTTGAAGGAATAAGGAATAGGGACAACTTGTTCCTGAAAAAATAAAGTTAAATAAAAATAAAGTTTAGTAAACTATGTTTCGCATAAAAATTTTCAGAATGCTATCATTTTTATAAGTTTTCGAACTATATTCAAAAATAGAGTTATTTGTGATAATACTGTAACACGAAGACATCACACTTTACTACCAAACAATTACTAAACCTAAAAACGCAAATTGATTAAGCAGAGTTATATTTGCTTTTTATTTATTACAAACAAGACTCTTTTTTGGCAGCAAAATTTTTTATTTGTAAGGAATTAAAATTTTCAATCGAAATTAATTAAAACAAAGAATTATGTACTACTTTTTTTCATCTTCAAACACTTAATCCCATACTTTTTCACGTTTATCAGCCGAATATAATGTATTTTTTGAATAAGTAGCCACTGAAGGCAACTATGTTTGATATTAAACAGCTTGAGTTTCGGATGTGAAATAGGGATGAGACGTTTTATATGAAATTTTGAATCACTTAATTCCAGTGATGTGGTTGAAAACAAATTTAAAAACAACGAAACATGCAATAAAACATCACTAGGAAAAATTTTCCGATAAAGCGTAGGAAGTTGGTAGCCTTGTTTGCATGTTGTGGTTGACAACAATATCAGGTTAGTTATAATAATTATGAAACATTTACTAGGGTTACCTACATAAACATGTAGGATTATGTAGGTGGCAGAGACGTAGTTTTAATGTATGTTCGAGCGGGTTATATCTTTCTATAACTTTTTTCTTTTTTTTTCTACACGTTAAAATTATATGAATGATGAAAACTTTTTTTATATCCACACCCTAATCTAGTTATACCGTACTATAGTTAATTAATCATGTAATGGGGTTCGGAGGGGTTTTTGTCCCCCAAACTTCCCTCAAAACTTCGCCACTGCCCCTGAGTAAAGTTATCTCATTGCAGTGAAGTTTGTTCGTGGCTATTAACCATAACTGTTTGTAATTAGGGCACTCTTCACGCATCCGCGATTTTTTTTAACTCTTCATTTAATAAAAGTTCTTCAAATGTAACTTTCATCTTTACGAAAAGAGAAAAGTGATAGTTTGCTTCATTATAAGCATTTAGATAAGAGATCCAAGACATTAGTATTCACCATAGTAAAACAGGGATCATAACTGTCCTCATAAAACAAGACCATTCTTTTCTGAAACCAAAAGTTATGACTTAGTTACTTCATTTTGCGTGTCCACCCCCCGTAGCTAACAAAAACTTGAAGAGCACATAAAGAAGAAACAACCTATTTTAATTTAAGAGGACATTTGTAGCTTATATGAAGGAAAAATAAATTTCTTCAAACATTTCTATTAGTTTATATTTTAAGAGCAATATATTGATATATCACGATAAAACTGACAATAAAGACTAAATAACAACTTTTAAGACCTTGTTTCAAATGCGAGCATACCTGCCAACTTGTGCGGTCGTTGAGAGAGATTCTACGAAGTGGTAATGAATCTATTATAAGTTTGAAAGAGTTTTCTGAAAAACAATGCTATTACGACATCCAAGGGTATAATTGGCAAACTACTCATACCTTGTAGTTATATTAGCATCAGTCCCGCTACTGGCTCTAACTAATTCATCTGAGTGGGAATGTATGATAAATCACCGAAGCGCAATTGAATGGTGAAGGTTGGGGTTCAGTAACATTTACTGCATGAAAATTAAAATGAAATGGCGAGATTTAAATAAAGAAATTTAAGAGAGAGAAGAGGTTTTTGTGGCAGACTGCCTCGCCTCCTCCCGAGGTAATTGGCAATCTCTTTTTCTCTTTATTTAACTAAAACTGGGTGCCTGGGCCGCGCAGCGGCCCCTAACCCATTCATCATGAAGTATTTACAAGTTGAATTAAAAAATATTTTGAATTATGCAGCCTTTAGGTAGCATTACAGAAGATCAAGCATATTTGCTTGATAAATTAAACATGATTTGATATTTAATATAAGTCATGATTTATGCAATAATCAGAAATTTTCGTGAATATAAAAAGCACAATTGATATTTAAGCATTGATTGGTATTAAATTTGATGCAGTCATAAGTTGTGATAATTGGCAATCTAATTGATCTTATCTACTTGCCTTTTTTAAAATGTTTGATTTGTTGTGGTAGTTTAAAATTTTTTTTTTTTAAATTTAAACTTCAAGATTTATTACGACTAACTGTTAATGTCGCTACCACTAAGAAAATTATTTCTCAACGGCTGCAGTTATTAGATTGGTAAAGGCCTGAACTCTTAACCCATGCGTATCGGCGAACAAGAATTTTCCTATTACGGAAAAATAAAAAATTATACTAACTTTTAGGGATCGTAGAAAATTTTTAAAACTCCCAAATTCGTTATTACCTATGACTTTTTGATATGTTAGTGAAAATATTGTACATAGCCTTTTTTTCCAATTTATTATCATTCATACATGTCAGACTAGTGTAACTGGGGAGCAACAAATCAGAGTCCGTGGTTAAATAGGCCCTGTGACCGTGAGCGTATATTGCTATTTTTTTCTATATTTATGTTTGTGCCAACCTTATACTCGACTATATACTTAGCCATTAATCAATTCATTATCTGATCTCTTTGAATTATATTAGATCCGATGAATCAAAGATAAACCACACAGGGCTGGTACTGGATTAATTTAAACTTTATTTTTTTTCTAGCTAGATTAGGTTTACTTAGAGTTTTATAGTTCCTATGCCCTCCAAAGAAGTAGAAGTACCATATTTGTTGGACTTGCAAATTTCTACGCTTTTGAAAAATTTCTAGTGGTGATTAAATATATGCTTTTAATAATTAATTCTTTGTTTTGGAAATTCGATTTAAAGTTTTTTGCCACACATTCAAAAGCTCATGTGAAATGCCTCTATGTAACAGAAACCTCAGTTTTTAAACTTTTTGGGCCTAACATCCCTTTAAGAGAGACAATTACCTTTTTCAGAAAAGAGAAAAGTGGTTTGTCAAGTGGTTCATTGCTAGGATGTATTTTGCAGGAACAAAGTAGCACGCTCTACCATAATGCATTAAAAATATAAACGTTATTATTGGATCTGAGATAAGGCTCATAACTTTTTGAAACTTAAAGTGGTAGATAACAGAAAAAAAATATCCCATTTGTTTAAACATATATGTATTCAAGATAGCAATTTTTCATTAATATAGGCCACTTTTTCTGTCTAGACAGAGATGCCAACGTGCACCAGACAGCCATTGAATATTTTCGAGTAGTAGTATCTTAAAACAGAATAATTCAAAGGCTTGTGTAATACGCCACTATTCTGGTTCAGCCGCATTTTACTGTAATAAGTGTAACGTTAATAAATTAATCGAAATTCTACACATTTTAGTTGTGTAATTTTCTATCTTTTTTTTAAAAATATTTTGTCCAATATGGAGCAGTTTGCATCTCTGCTTAGATATAAGTGGGTTTACCATTCCCTAAAATCTTAAGGAAAAGCATAGTAGTGAGAAGAACAGTATTTTTTTCCCTTTTTTTTGCGATTTTTCACATTGCTCTCCCAGCAAGAAATTTCCTTCTTTTCTTAGCTATTGTCACGACGACTGTCTAGTCTTAATCTAAGCTCTTTGAAGACAGAGAGGATAAAAGCGAGAAGCTTAGATCTTCTTCATTAACTCAATTCTAAAGAAAAAGAATTAAACTGAAGTTGTAGCTATAGTTTGCGCTAGTTTTGATGAAACTTTGGCTACCGCTTCTTTACATTTCAACCAGTAACAGCCGTTTATGTTTTTCGAAATAGTAGAAAAATGTTGCCCTCAACCAGTGTAATATGACAAATGTCTATACCTATACTATGAAATAATTTAATAAAAATAATGTACTTACTCCTACTTGAGCTGCCGCAACAACTATCAATGCAGCAAATGCCAGGAATACCTAAAAATTAGCGATGTTTTTTTAAATTTCAGAGGAAAGAGGAGTTATACATATATGATTTTTTACTATTGTATTAAGACAAATTTAATTATCTTTCAAAAAAACTTACCACAGCTAGAAAAATAATAGTTGATACAGTAAAAACTATCATTTTCCCACGTTTTCAATGCATTTCTCAATATATTTCTTAAAATTGACTTTCAGCTTACATTGATAGTAAGTGTATTGAAAATCAATATTTTTTTTATATTTACATCATGCTATTAACGTATTTAAACTGTTGGCTTTTGCCAGTGTAAATGAGAAACAAAAAAGAAAAAAAAATTCTGATATCTTTCTAGTAAAACTCTAACTTAATATATTCTAAGAGATATATTTCTAATAATAAATAGATATCAAGATATATTTCGAACATAAAGAACATAAAGTAAAATTTTCAGATGAGGAAAAGAACTTTCAGATATCTAAGGCACACATTTTCATCAACAAACAAGAAAAAACAGCTCTGTCAGGGAAAACAGAAGAAAATGGCAGTGGAATCATTTTATTTCCAGCTTGCATTCGCAAGGAATATATACATAGCTGCCAGCTATGGGTTGCCCGTAGTATTTTATTTTTATATTTATAAATGGCAATGATTCTAATAAATTTCTTTTCAATTCTTGAATTTATAAATTTAACCCTTTTGAAGGCCGTGGTAAGTATACTTACCACCACGTTTTACCACTTTTAATTTAGGTTTCCATTTTTCAATAAGTTCAGCTTTCTTGAAATGAGTTTGAATAAAATTGGTAACCATTTGTCACTTTTAAAAAACGTATAAAAGTTATAAAATACATAATTCCTTTTGAAGTTAGTAGCATTTAAGGAATTTATTTTATAAATAAAGAAAAATAAAAGTCAGTAAGTTCCTAATAGGTCATGTTAAATATATTTACCACCAAAAAAATGGCATTTTTATAAACTAAATGAGTTTTTTTTTAATATCAATTACTGTTCTTAAAACAATTTCAATTCCAAAAATACTTTAATTTACCTTTACTAGAAGTAAAGGGCCCATTAAAGGGTTATTATGTTTTTAACTTCTATTGAATGCAAATAATTATTTATGTATAAGAGCCAGTTATAGAAGCGAAAATCAATATATCTCATAGCAATTGTGAAAATTTTATTTTAAGTTCATCAATCTTACTTTAGCAATTGGGAAGTACTTGGTCAAAAAGAGTAAAAGCCGGCAGGTCTTTTGGTTATTAGGACATATAAACACCTATTTACAACTGGGGAAATTGTCTGGTATATACCTTTTAACGTTCAATAAGTCCTAGTAGACAGGGTTCTTTACTTTCCCCGTTAACAAGATACTTATGAAATGGTTTTACTGCCAGTTTTTACTCCTTTCCAGACACAAACAGCCCTGATTTCTGTGTCTATGCATTCGTATGTTTTCTGAAGGCTAGGTTATGTAAAGAATAAAATGTAGCTAGCTATTCCTTATTTTAATTTCCTAGAATTTAAAGGGAAAAAAAACATTTCAAGAGTACAAGGACATGTCATATTACAATACGTATGCTTGTCCACTTGTTTTTTTCCAACTGATAGTTACATTTATGTTTCAATGTATTTACTTTGGATTTTGAAATTTCAAAAAAATTCTTTCGTCCGTAAAAACAAATAAATAATTTAAACATATATATATATAAAATCTATTAACTAGATACTTATGTTTTAAAATGTTGGTATGTTTAAAGTTCAAAGAAGTCGCTTAATTAAAATTCTTTATACTTTAATTATAATTTTATTATTTCACTGCCACTTCATAAAACATTTTCCACTGACCGAGGAGGTGGTAAGATGTCCTATAATATATTTTATTTAAATCTCTTAAATAAGTTATAAGTAAGAAATAAAATAGGATGCAGTTAAATAATAATATAATTATGAATTATTAAAATATATTAAGTATTTTGAAAATTGTTTACGATATGGAGCTTTACTTTTTGGAGATAATTAAAACTTTTCTTAATGACTTATTTGCGACATTACATTACAGAGCTCTATTGAAAAAAAAATTTGAATTTTCATGTATAATTGTCTTGTTTTATTTCATCTAATTTCATAAGTGTTACAATTTCTTATTAACATTCGAAGAATTTAGTTTATTTAAAAAAAAAAAACATATCAGTTCTAGAAAATATTTAATGTTTTATTTTTAACAAACGGTTTGTACGCACTGGAAGAAACTTAAAAAATGGAATGAATTTTGGTTTAAAAAAGCCAAATGATTCTTATTATTAGATTTAACATAACAATTAAATTCTTCTATTTCGTATATCTAAGTGTATTTACTGAAGCGGCGGTGCTCAATTTTTTATTATTTTTTATTGTGCCCTCCTAAATACTTGACCTTCTTTTAGTAGCATCTCGAAACTTAATAAATATTTATTTTAAACTAACTAACTAACTAATCAAAATGTTACAGAGTTCCCATCCAATTCAGGATATCTGCTCTTTCATCTCAGTAGAATTAAAATTGGAGGAAGGGAAGGGGGGTGCTGAGCTTAACATTAGGCTTAAATATCAGATAGTTCAAATGTGTAAGCAAATTGAAATCCGGGTGAAATATTATAATAAGTCGCAATTGATACAATAATAATACAGTAATGAAAGAAAAGGGACATAAAATATTTACAAAATTTGCAAATGGGTTGGACTCCCTTAGCACTCCCTCGCCTCCCCCCGTAGCTGGGCTTCATCGGTGCAGAGTGCAAAGTTTGTCCAGGAAAATTGAAATGTTTTGAGGGAAGGCAGTCGCTAAGGAATTAATATTGTTGTAAATATTGGCTACAAATACGGGCTAAAATATTGTTGTTTTCGATAAAATCGATATCTAGCAGTTTGTTAAAGTCACAAGTAGCGCAATTTTTGGCGCCCTTAATTTATTTTAAAAATTGTATTGATCGATATTTTGTTAATTGTTTTGAAAATATTATCACTAATGAATGAAGAGTGAAATTTTTTCCTCATATCGTTTTATCAATATTAGTCTAAAAATCGAGTCAGACCGATAAATTTACAGGTCTGGAAAGGCATCTAGACTACTTAATATAATGCATGCCTAAGTTGATATTGAATGAACTGAAATAGGGTTTCCGTTAAAATCAAAAACAGAAAAGGACAAAAATTAACTTATATGTACTTCATTGTTGAATATTGGTAATTTTAATTCGATGCAAAAAACTGATGCAATTTTTCATGAACATTCATAATTCATCTATTTTATTTTGAAAAAAAAAACCCTTTTTTAAATTTAACTTCTTCACAAGTATTTAAATAAAATTATTTTTTTATATAACAATGGAAAGAGTAAATGAAATAATGAAATAGCTGATAACTAACTGACTATACTTCAAACACCAGGTTTTAAAAATCATAACTCTCTAAAAAAAGTCCTAACTAGTAGAGCTCCAATCAAATACTGATGCAATTTTTTTTTATATACATTCTAACTTCATTTATTATTTATTAGAAAAAAAACATTTTTAAAATTTAATTTCTTCACAAGCATTTTAATTAAATAATTTTTTATAAAAAAAATATTAAAAACATATTATAAATAGTGTATAATTAATTGGCTATAAATCTAATACCATGTTTTAAAAATCATAACTGGTTTTAAAAAAAGTGCCGCGAAACACCATTCGGAAACCGCTGACTTTAAAATACACTAGTATTGAAAAACATTATAAAATGTGATTTTTCATCGTTTATTACTATCAATTTTTAATAGTTTATAATTTTTTCAAAATTAAGTTTAACTTGGTTAAAGATTTTAATAATCTACTCATGTTTGCCAACATAAGCATTTTTGGAATTTTTTAAAAGATAATGGCTAGTTGCCGACAAAAAACACTTAAATTATTTATTATTGATACGGAATTATGATTGATTAGAATGATTATGATTGATACTTACCTTCATGATTGATACAGAGTTTTTTCTTGTCCTACCAAGCCTGTCTTTAAAGAAGTGGTAGAAATTAAATTAAAGCACAGGGCTTATATACTTTTTTAAAGATCTATAAATTACTCTCGGGATGAATACTAAATTTTTTTTATCACAAAGAATATGGAGTAATTGTAGAAAACGTAAGGGTAGTCCCCCCTTTTTTTATTTCATTCCGTCTCCAAACGATTTTAATTAAGTTTTTTTTCCTGATACTCTCCTTGAAATTTTTTATATTGTCTGAAAAGACTCGTTTCTATCAGCTTCTTAGTGAATTCGTACACGTAATTGTGATGATTGGTGAGAAATTCGGCGTAAAAATAAGAAAAATATATCAAAACGAATGCATAGAAAAAAGATATTCTTTAATTGATAAGTTGTAATTTAAAATTAGAATTGGAGCAATGCAATCAGCTAATGCTATTGGCATTTATACATAGGAGGATAAACGAACTATTTTTTTTTTAAAGGAATAAAGTCTTACAGGAAACAATTCTTCAATAATATAAAATAATAATATCTTTATTTATTTTCTCAAAAACAATAATACAATATTTATATAATCATATTTTGACGATTATAAAAATTTTTTTTATTAAAAAACTTTATAAGAATAAGTAATAAATTTATAGCACAACATATCATTTAAACATTATTCAACTTTTTTCTTATTTATGAATTCATTTTAATGCGCATTGAAAAAGTATAGTTAAAGATAATTATTTAGATAAGTTAATACTGACTGAAAAATCACAGGGGCTTGTTTTAGTCCCCATGCTAATAGAAAAATATTGGAAAGTTGCTTACTTGTTCGTACATAATAAAAACTTCATTGATTTTAAAAATTAGATGATGATGATAGAAGATGTTTGGAGTGTTCAAAAATTCACGTCAGAAATCATTCTCACTTGACAAGTCTTGACAACGGATGCCTATTTTTGCGCGCTTGAAACACGTCCACTTTTATTTCTATCTTCATTTTTTTTAAACTAATGAAGTTTTTATTATCGTTTATTACGTGTTCAAATTCTAAAATCCTAGAAAATCATGAATAACTTATTAATCGATTCAAATTTTACTTATAAAACAGATTAAAAAGAATTGGTCAGAAATCAGCCCAAAAAATGAATATCTGTTACCTTGAAACATTAACTATTAATAAAATGACCTTTCCGAGCAATTATAAAATATTCAGTGAAGAACTAGTAGAGTTATTTCCTTCTTTTTTATTGTCACAACTTGGCTGCTTAGCAACGGAGAAAAATTAGGTATTGCTTTCTTGAATGAGTTTATGGTTATCTTAATTTACTCCATTTACGGATATGTGAAAAACGTTATATGTTTATTCAGAGAAAGTACATTTTTGTGTTTTATTTCCAAATTTAATACTTGATACTTGATTTAGCTTACGTCGGTTGTGGAGATCTCAAAGTTGATATTAGTTTCGCTCTTACTCTATAAATTTTTCTTAAAAATTAAAAGTACAGTCTATTTTTTTATCGCAGTAAAAATTTAAAAAGTTATGTATAACAGGGGATTGTGCAAATGTTGCAACCAATTTTTAGGGGATTTAGGGTACATCGTCACAATTAAAAGTGCATAGAGACCCATGCCCGGAGATGTCCTCATACGCCGCTAGGGGCTTTCTTATTATGAATCGTGTCTTCACGTGCATCTAAATAGTTCACAATAAAGAAGAGCTCTTAGCCGCGTACACCAACATTTCCGAATTGCATGTGTTCCTATGCAATATTAATATTTATCCTGAAGATGTGCCCTAACTCTTTTAAAAGTTGGTAGCAACATGTACAGTGGTGCTCACTTACTTAAGGACTGTGTTTTCAAAATAAATGCGTCATTATATTGGATAAATATTATGTTTTGATCAAGATATCTATAATGACGAATTCTACCTTAGTTGAACTTCAATCCTCAAATTATTCATTCGTGTTCACTAGTGTTTCATAAAAGTTTATTTAAAAAATATAGTATTTTGTTAAGTTTCTTGTACTTAAGGACAGTTTGTCTAATCATGAGTTATTGAATGATTACAATTAATTTATCGATCAATGTAAGTGTAATTTACTACATTATCTTAGTTTGATGCTTTAGAACATTATATTAGTATTATTTTTCTTTTTTTTTAGTACAAATTTCAACATTATTATGAGTAAAGGAAAAAATGTTAGCAATGAACAGAGATGTCGAATAGATACTCTGAGAAAAGAAGATTTAAGCATTAGAGAAATTGGTAGGTGGGTAAAATTATCAAAAACAGCAGTTTTCCAAGCATTGAAATCTATTCAAGTGACCAAAAGTATTGAAAAAGCATCCCGAAACCTACGTCCTCGCAAAACTACCGAACGAGAAGATCGAATTATTCATCGAATTTCTGAAGCTGATCGTCACAAAACCGCCCCGGACATCAGAAAAGAATTCGCTGAATTAACAGGCAAGCACGTAAGCAATAATACCATCAAACGGCGTTTAAATGAGTTTCGGCTTATGGGTTGCGTATGTAGGAAAAAACCGTTGTTGTCAAAGAAGAATATAGCAGCTCGATTAGCTTTTGCAAAAAGACACCGAAACTGGACATCGGCTGACTGGAATCGAGCTATATTTACAGACGAGTCGAAGTTCAAAAGAATGGGCTCAGATGGCAAAAGTTATGTGAGCCGTCGAGTCGGTGAAGAATTTAATGTGCGGTGTACAAAATCAACTATAAAAGGTGGAGGCGGCTCGGTGATGGTGTGGGGTGTCATAACACGTTCAGGATGTGGTCCAATTTGCAAAATCAAAGGCATCATGGATCAGCATGTGTATGTGGACATTATTAAGACTGTTTTTCTGCCTTATTACAGGAAACTTCGCTCAAGAAAACCAATCATGCAAGCCGATAATGATCCAAAGCACACGAGCAAAACTGCGAAGGCCTTCTAGTCAAGTAAGAAAATTGAGGTTTTGCAGCGGCCTTCCCAATCACCAGATCTCAACCCGATCGAGATGCTGTGGATAGATGTGGATAAATATGTGAAACAGCAAAAACCAAAAAATTTAGGTGATTTATGGAAATGTGTCCAAGAAGGCTGGGCAACTTTAACTCCTGAGCGATGTCAAAGATTAGTAGATTTTATGCCTCGTAGATGTGAAGCAGTAATTGCCACAAAAGGCTTACCGACTAAATACTAGCTCCAAATCATTATTTTTTGTTACACTTTTTGCATTGTTATTAATTTTATTAACGATTAAGAAATATTTATTTTGTTGTCCTTTAAGTATGCGGAATGCATATTTTTCCTAAAATGTTTCATAATTTAAGTATAGCAGTTAGGTAAATGATTCTCATTCTGAAAATATATTAAAAATAAATCATTTGTTCCAATACGTAATTATCAATTCAAGAAACTTATGCGTGAACATTAAATTTTGGATTTTACTTCTCATAAAGACATGTCCTTAAGTACGTGAGCGCCACTGTACGCCAATCCTCTATTACACATTACGTTTTTAAATTTCTACATTTCAACCAAAAAGAGACTGTAAATGTAATTTTTTAAAAAGAAAATCTGTAGTTTCATAGCAAAACTAATTTCAGATTTGAAATCCCCACATCCGAATCACGCTAAGTCAAGTATTTGTATCAAATGCAACACAAAATTTGTTCGTCGGTGTTATTAATCAGGACTGTCAACTACTAAGCATTTTGCAAAATATAGCATTAAGTTGTAATCAATTAAAAATTAAAGCGTTCAGAAATTTTGGAAATTTTGCCAACTTTTTAAAAGTCTCACCACGAGAAGACGGTAACAGAATGTTTTTTTTTTAATATAAGATTTTCAATCATTTACAAGTCGTAGTGCGAAAAACAACTTTAAATTAAACTTATAAAATAAAGAATAATACATTAAACCATGAAGTTAGTTACTACTTTAAGAAATGTTTCCAAAAAGCGTAGAAAGTTTGCAGGCTTGTATTAATTATAAAAGACAATCGCTACTTTATTTTGTTGACTCGCCATGTGGCGAGTGGTTATTTTTATGTCAAGCTGTTAGTCATAATATTTTTGATATAATAAGCTTAGTGCTTTTGAAACATTTAATTGCTACGTTTTAGCAAGGAAAGAGAAAACGAAAATTTTATAAGGACAAATAAATAAATAGATAAAAGCAAGGGGCATAAATGTCAAACTTTCGGGAGTCGGGCCTTAAGTTAGAGTTTCCCTAAACATTTTTTAGAGTCTTCCTAAATATTGTAAAACAAATTAATCTATCTGATATTTTAATTTAGCAGTATCAAGATTAATAATCTTATTTTTCTAACTGAACATTCAAAATGGAGTATAGTATAAGAAATAAATCTTTGAACTTAATAAATAAAATATATTATAATGCAAATTCTTTCAATTGAGAAGAGAAGGAAACAACAAATTAATCCATTTGATATTTTAAGTTAGCAGTTTCAGAAGATTGAATTTTAAAAAATCTTATATTTCAGAAACTATTTTTCAGAAACTATTCAAACGATTTTTCCTAAAAATTTGTATTTTGTTTTGTAAAATTTTATTCTTTAAAATGATATAGAAAATTGTATACCTTATAATTCAAAAATTTTTAAATAAAATTATAACAGAAAATAACAAATATTTACTGAACGTTATTTTTTTTTGCATGGAATCATCTTTGAATTAATGAATTTTATATTTGAGTACAAAATTTTTTTCAATTCGCTTAGAGTAATTTGGGGACCCAAATTTTGAACCATTTTCCTAACAAAACTATTGTGACCATATTTCGCAAATTCCCTACATTTTAATGATTTGAAATCGAAAAAAAAAGAATGATTATTCAGCGAATTACGTTTTTTTGTCTGATTTCTTAACTTAAAATGTTCAGAAGTATAATTAACTAAATGCTTTAAGTTCTTTACTACTTTTTTTTGTGTACTGTATATTACGCAATACATTTGAGCATAAAATTCGTTCTTTCGTTCGTTGTAGTAGAACTGGGAGTCTGAGGTCTTACTGCCCTCTTCCCATTCATCCTGAAATTAGACTAAGAAACAAACATGACAAAAATAAGGT